AGATGGCCAATGGACCAATCAGTCCCTACATGCAACCACCCATCTACCAGAACGATCAGCACCAACAACTTCATGAGCAAGATGGTGCCGAAAACTTTCATTCCAACTCAGCAGATCCAGCAAATCAACGCCTATCGATCGATACATGGAAGAGAGCATCGATCGATATACAACGCGAGTTTGGGAAGATAGCTTTCAAACACGGAGTTCGTCGTTTCTTCTGGGAAAAGAAAGACGAATTTGGTGTCTAACGAGATGAGAGTGGTTATGCAAGAAGCATCAGTGGTGACATCATCCATGTTTACAAAGAAGATATTGAGAAGCTTCTTAATAGAGCCACAATGTTTGAGCGCTCTTATATTTGTTTACCAGAGCATGCTGAACAAATTACTAAAGGAGTTCCAGTTTGCAAGCTCTACACACAAGCAGAGGTTACATACATGGTGAATGAAAGAACCAGTGAACACAACTGGGAGATAGCAGGATTGAGCTTAGAACATGAGAAAGCCATATCGAGACTTCAAGGAGAACTACTATAGAATATGTCTGGCAATGACTTCGCTCGCAAAGAAAGGAAAGCACTACAAGAAGAGGTGGATGCACTTCGCCAAGAACTTGAATCTCAGAGACATCCATCGACCGATGCAGCACCATCAGCGTCGATCGACACGACCTTTGACCCACCTATCGAGAGTCACTTACACAAGCTATCTATTGATGATCTACCCAGCACATCGATCGATATTCGTGCACCAGACTACTGTACCAGAGAAGAACTTGAAGAAATCACAATAGATATCTACAGATCTATTGAATTTTGTGAAGAAGACGCACATAGATCACTCGAAAATTTTTGGTTCCCGGTACAGAGTGACGTTCAAGAATTGAAATGCACAGTGGAGAATATTCAGCAGGAGATCGAAAACATCAAGAACCAGCTCACAAGCCAACATGCACAATCCGCATCGATCGACGAGCCAACTCCGACTGGTTATACACTGAGGACAGTGTATGATTTAAGTCTGGGGGGAGTGAATTACTGATGCTACTTTACCTTTTTGATCTCTTTAAAAAGTTTTCAAAAATTGGTTTTATTGAGTCAAGAAAGGGACAAAAATATTTCAAAATTTTTTTTTTTTGCTTTTTATCTTACTACTCTTTAGCACCATTCTTAGAATTGTTGATTGCAGAAAGTACTATAGATGCTAAAGTGGATAACCAATCATCCTATGACAACACTTTTCATGATTGTTTGGAAGAACCAAGGCTGATTTCCAACCTAACCTGACAACTATTACTTGTCTTGGGGCTTGGTATACAAGGGATCAGAATCCTCATGCAAGTGTGGAAGGTAAAAGTCTCAAAAATTTTGGATTCTTTCTCTCCTTCCTTTGGCATCCCATAAAGAGAAAATAAAAGATTGAGATGATTTCCTGAGAGGCAGAGGGAGAGGTACATTACCCATGACCCCTCTAATCAAAGGAATGATCACACATTGTGGAAGCGAGGGAGAGGTAAATTACCTATGACCTCACTATTCGCCTACACTTTATCAAAAAGCTATAAAAAGTTGAAAGATCAATAAGATGAGCATTAGTTGTTCATTAGGATTGATGTAAAAGAAAAGAAAGTTTGGGATTCAGAGAAGGGGGATAAAGAGAGAAAAGGAACCAGGATGAGAATGCCTGAAACTTGTTTGAGTTGAATCCAAGTGTTCTTTGATCGATACTCCCAAGGTAAAGCCTACACCTTTATTTTATGCATAAATGAAATCAGTAAAGGGGATAGTCAGACAGGATTGTTTAAGTTGATTGGCTAGATGAATTTGGTTGCTAAGATAGGATATGGTATAATGTACTTCTATAGTTAGTAATATGAGATGTGGCTTGCAACAAAGTAGAAGTGATGATTTTAGAGCTAAGATTTTATTGAGTCCCTACTGTTTTTAAACTTCTTCCAAAAGAGACTAATGGTTTGCTTGAGGACAAGCAAAAGGCTAAGTCTAGGGGAGTTGATATACCATGATTTTGACCCACTTTTAGCCATGGTATTGATACGTTTTTATAAGTTTTATATATGTTTTGGAGTCTATTAGGTATGTTTTCAGGTTCAGGAGCATTTTGGAGTAAAGTGATGATTTAGGTGCCCTTTTGGAGCTTAAAGGAGAGTTTTCCGAGATGACTATAAAGATTAGACAACAAGGATACATATCGATAGATACACACCCTGTGTAATCGATCGATGATGCTTCCATAGAAGATGAAGTCGAGATACTCCATCAATCAATGTACACCATGTACCATCGATTGATATGATGCGTGGAGAACAAGTCTGACTTGGCCGACTTGAAGCCAAGTCTTCCCAATATTACAATAATGCCCCTGACGATTTTTTAACCTAATGGAACTCATATTTATAGTTATGCCTATGTGTTTTGGCTAGACATGCTTTTTATGCTTTTATTGTTCTAATGCTTTTTGTACTTCAAAAGCTTTGCATGCTTTTCTTGTGCTTTGTATGCTTTTGAATTCTTTTGTTTTATTCTATACTTAGAAATAAAGTATTTCTTTTCATCTTAATTCTGAAAGGTTATAGAATTCTAGATTTAGAAGAAACACACAAAGAGATTTGTTGTTCCAAGAACCAAAAGTTCAATCTTCTAATCTAATGAATTTCTATTATTACCTTGTTGTTATGAATCTCTTAGCTATGTCTGAGTAGATTCCTTTGTTAGATTTAGGGTTCAAATAGTTATGAGGGATTAGCCCCAACTATGGAATGTTGAATTGTTGATATTCATTATCCAAATGAACCATGATGCTTACTCTAGAGTAGCTACCTAGAGTATGATCATGGATGTGATTTAACTTGTTAATCATTGTCCTGAAATCATTTGGCATAAGCTTAGATCCTCTGGGGATGTGTGAGAGCCGGTCTATGATCTTGGTGAACACAGTTTCGATTCGATCTTATGCTATATCGATCGATACTCCTATAGAGTTATCGATCGACAGCAACTCATATCATCCGATATCGCTGTCAAAACATCGGTCGATATTGCTGGCATTAAGATCAATGGATGAGTCTATTTAGCGATTGCTATTAGATATGTCTAAGAATTAAAGTTCTTATATATCTTGCAAGCAATTCATTAAAACATATGTAGCATTATAATCCTAATTATCTGAATAGCAACCTTGAATCTAACTACTTTCTTTTATTGTTTTAAACCAAAACATATTCTCTTGAGTAACTTACCATTACTCACAAACTGCAATTTACTATTTTAAACTTAATCAACCTAGCATAATCACTTAGAATTACATCTATTGTGTTCCTTAGTTCCCTGTGGATTCGATCTCTAAGTACTACAACTTAACCTCTTATTTGAGAGAGTAATTCACTTCTTAGGGTTAAACATTTGAGTGATACCAACAGTCTGAAAGGACCATTCAGACCTTGGAGGATATGCTAAGGGCATGTGTTTTAGACTGGGGAGAGTCTTGGGAGAAACACTTACCTTTTGTGGAATTTTCATACAACAACAGCTTCCATACCAGCATTGGCATGTCGCCATATGAGGCTTTGTATGGTAGGCAGTGTAGGACACCTCTATGCTAGACCCAAGTGAGGGAGCGTGGCATGTTGGGTCTTGGGATTGTGGAAGAAACCACTGAGAAGATCATAATGTTCAAAGAAAAGATGAAAGAGGCCCAGGATCGCCAGAAGCGCTATGCTGGTAAGCGTAGGAAACATCTTGAGTTTGAAGTCGATGACTTAGTGTATCTCAAGATGATCACCTTCAAAGGTGGGACCAGAGTTTCTGGACGAAAGAAACTGGATCCTAGATACTTAGGTCCGTTCGAGATCATAGAGAGGGTGGGTAAAGTGGCATAGAAGTTGAACTTCCCACTGGAAATGGATGCATATCACAATGTATTCCATGTATCCCAACTCTGGAAGTATCTGACGGACCAGGACATTGTTTTGCCTGAGATCCCTACTAATCTAGGTAAGAACCTCACCTTAGAGACAAGGCTGGTTTGTATCATAGATCGGTCAGAGAAAGCAATGAGAAAGAAGATGGTTCCCATGATAAAGGTGGTGTGGGGTTAAAATGGTGAAGATCTCATCACTTGGGAAACATAAGCAAGAATGAAAGCTGAGTATCCAGAGTGGTACAGACAATTTCTTCGTGAAGAAACACTTAACTCAGATTCGAGGACGAATACCATGTTAGTGGGGGAGACTTGTCATGTCCCCGATCCTAGATAGGACCGGACAGACCATGGTGCGAGGAAACGCACCAGTCATGTCGTAAGACCTTAAGACAAGCGTACCATGGTCCAAAATGATGGTTAAGGGCATTAAGGAGCTGAGACGTAACCAGGAAAAGAAGGAAATAAGTAAAAAGGAGCCAGATGAATGAACTGGAAGTTGTATGAGGTTCAGATTCAGCTCGATCAGCTAGGTAAATTTTGAAATCAGTTAACAATGACTTGATCAGCTCACAGGACCTGGAATATTAGCTCACTCAACTGGGAACAGTTATTGGACAGTTAATCTCAGCTGGGAGGGATGTTCCGGTTCGAACCAGTGTGGTCGGATCCAAGCGGTTATGGACTGAACCGGAAGTCTGATTGGTTTGGTTAATGTTAGTGAATAATTAATTGGATCCGGTTATAGTTTAAGGTCTGAGAAATCGATTTTGTGGAAAGGCGGGAAAGGGAGAAACCGCCAATGGCAGTTACTGGGTGGTTATGGGAAGAAACTCTTCTTTCCTTTGTTATTTTGGTAACCGCTCATCCAGGCAGTTGTCCAGGGAGGTTCTCATCGATTTCCCCTTCATTTTATTTCTTCTCTTGGTCAAAAATTATCAGAGGAAAAGAAAGAAACCCAGACAACTTCAAGAGAGGAAAAAAAAAGAGAAAGCGGTTGAGAACTGATTCCGTGGTGGTTCTTGGTGTTTTCCGGTGAGGATTGTCTTAGAGATTGAAAGGATGGACACGAGACAGAAAGAAAATGAAAAGGAGATGGAGAAGGAGAAGGAGACAGCCCCTGGGGATCGTAACCCTAAGGTGAGAGGTGTGGCAAAGAACCAGTGAACATAACCAATGGTTAAACCGTCTGTGGTTATGGTTCTGCCTGGTTCAGATGGTTACACCTTACTCTGGTCTTAGACTATGTTCTTCATCTATTTCTTGTTGTGGTATTGGATGTTGATGTTTCAGGTTTGAAGACACCGATCTGAGGCCTTGGCCGGAGCAAATTAGTCATAATAGTCCATGGCCTTGGCCTGACTGATCATGGTCGAAATATATATGATCTAGGCTGAATTTGAGAATTTCCTTTTGGGAATATCTTAGTTGATGATTTTCATGAATTATCATGAATTTTAATTAGTTTTTCGAAATTGATTTGATGATGTCAAGTTTTGATTTATTTGACTGATCATGATCCGAATCCATATGGTCTGGATCGTTCATTGGATTCTAATCATGGGAATATCTTAGTTGGGGAATTATAATGAGTTTACATGAATTTTAATTAATTTTTGGTGTACTTTTTTGAAAATGGCCAGAAGTGGTCTTGATGTGTAACGAGATGATTAGTTTTAATCCTGCCATGCAGTGTGATAGTTTCTTGTGTAGTAAACTGATCATGTGTTTGTGTTGTATGGTTGTGTTGGTCTCAGGTACAGACTTGGACCGTGGTAAAGGAAAAGCACCGTGAGGACTCAGGCCATGGGAAGATGTGTGGTGAATGGGTCATTCCTAGTAGTGGTGTTATCTTAGTAGTTTATTGTGCAACTTGTGAACTTATACTAGCCTAATGTGCAACTTGTTTATGCTGAACGAATGAATAATGTTTGATTCTGTTTTATCTATCTATGAAGTATTTATGCTTTGATTGATTTTAATTGTCTAAGTGCATATTGAACTGAACCTCAATACTCTGATTTATACTTAGTAATACTGCACTTGAACTGGAATAATTAAAATCTGATTGATTAGGATTGTGTCGTAAGACTGCGGTCTGGTTGGATTGAGGAATCCAGGATCAGGTTTTACAGCTGGTGCTTTATTGATGGTTCATGGAAATTATATCATGTTTCGTTCGTTTGGCTAGAAACATAAACCCTAAAAGTATCCAATTGCACCCTCACTCCATCGATACAAACCCTAAACCCTAAAAGTATACAACATCCAAACACAATCCATAAATCAAAGAACATGTAATTCAAAAATTGGAATTGCATAATATAAATCTTATTTAACAAACCATATCATATGTGGTTAAACAATAGAACATGCATCAATTGTATAAACGAATATAACATGCATCATTTGAATTTACGGTAAGGTTTAAACTAATATGATATTAGAGCGAAATAAATAGTTAAGAAGCAAACCGAGATTAGAAGATATACTTATCGAGAGAGATTTGATTAGAGGATATACAAACCGAGATTAGAGTGAAACCGAGAATGATCTAAAGCGGAAATTTAAACCAAACCTACATTAACTCTAATGACCAATTAAAAGAAGACACATCAGCATTGTAAATTAGTCTAATCAGGATTGTAAAATAGTGAGCCAATCAAATTATAACGTTTTCACTTAAGTGTGTTCTCAAATAATAGTATGACTAGGTGATTTTCCCGTGCTCATGCACGGCTATAAATATTTTAAAAGGAAATATATGATAATAATTGATTACTATTTAGTTTTAATTTTAAATTAATTTATAATTTGTATGCATCATTTATATTAAAATATTATATTACTTTAATTATACTGTAATTTTCTATATGTTATATTTAGTTGATTTTGTTGTTTTACGGTTGATTTAGTTATCATTTGGATAAATTGGATTGTCTGAATTCAACTGTAATATTTTTAAAATATATTAATTTTTAATTAATCACTTATTTGCATTTAGTGGGTGTTGTCTTAGATATATAAATATATTGTAGGAAAATTATGTATAAATTAAGATATATTGTGCTTAGAATGAATTAAAAATTAACTAAAGTGTCTGATTTCAAAATACGTAAAGTAATATAACGATAATATTCTAAAGTCTCATGTAAATATATAAATTTTACAAAAGAACTAAAATTGTAAAAGTTGGTTAATATTTATTTTCATTTGTTAATATTCTTGAGTTATCCTATGATCAATAGAAGGTTACATGCATAAGTAGTTGATACATTTTTACAAGATCATAACACATATCAATATTTACAATAATTAAAATATTTATAAATTCTAAATAACTTTATGCTTTAGATTTATTGAATATAAACTGAAATTTATTTTAAATAATTTTAAAATTGGAAATTCAGATTTGCTTTGATATTTTGATTATGGTTATATTTAGTTTCACAAACATAAAAACATAAAATTTAAAAGAAAGTTTAATATTAAGAAAGCATATAATTTTAATAATAATAAAATATCATATATCTAGCTCACTAAACCAATTGTTAATTATTTGAGCAAACGATGTTTATTGTTAAATTTATTTTTAGGTTTTAATATCTCTTAAAAATAAGCACTACACAAAATTGTGATTGTATTTGAAAATAATATTATGTAAGTGAAATATAATTTATAGATAATTTTCTGTAATTGAAAGATATTATAGTCAACTAAATATATGAAAAAAAAAATAAAAAATTTCAATAATACTAATTATAAACTATTTTTATTACTAAAAAGTGTATTTTAATGTTATTTAAAAATATTTTTAAATGTATTATTGCTATTTTGTGAACTTTCCTTTTTTATGAAATCATATTATTTATACATATATTTTTCCTTTTAAATTTGTTTTTATAAGTTTATAACTAATTTCCTTTTTATTACATGTATTTTTGGAAATTTTGAAAAGGAAAATAAATAAAAGAATTAATAATACTGTTTTTAACTATTTTAATTCATTAAGGGTATCAGTGTAATCAACCATCGTGAGAGTGAACGTAAAAGCGACACATAGGAAACTGACTTCTCAAATAATATTATAGAGATACTATAATATTTTAAATGGGAAATGCTATTATTTAAAAAAATTAAATGTAAAATTTAAATAAAAATATAAATTTTCTTTTTGGATGTAAACATAATTTTTTGATATTTTAAAATAAAATAAATTAATTCCATATAATTTATATATAAATTATCATATTTATTTATTGGTAGCGTAGTAAATGATTCATATATAATTTATTTCTTTTTAAATAATATAGATATTTTAATATTTATAATATATAAATATATTATGTTTTTTGTTATTAAAAATAATAAAAGATATGTGTAATTATATAAGTTATATTATGTTTTAAATGTGAAATATGTTATTCTTTTTAAAAAGTTAAAAAATATTTAGTCACAACTTTTTTATAAATTATAAATTTATTTTTACAAATATAAATTTTCATTTGATTATAATCATAATTTCATATTATTAAATAAATATATAAATTAATTATATTTAAAATTTAAATTATATATATATATATTTTTTTAACTGCAAATGTTCTACTAAAAATTCTATGTGAGAGAATTAAGAATTAAGTATTCACAGAGTATTAACATCTTGTAAATAATTTTCTAAATTGTTTTGTGATAAATGTTAATTTTTTTTTTTCGACATCAACTTAACAAAAGACTCATGTTGACTATGCGATCCAAACCGGTAGCTCTGCATCCACGTGAACAACAAAAAACGATTGTTTCCTTGCACTGCGTACTAGATTATCCGCCCGTAAATTTTGCGTTCTTGGTACGTGGATGATCTCTGAGCTGTGAAAGTTTTCCTTTAGTATCTTAATATCCTCCAAATAATTTGCGAAAGCTGGCCATGCTTCTGGTTCTGAAACCATCTTCACCAATTGAGAACAATCTATTGCAAAAGTAACATGATACTGGCGCAAATTCTTCATACATTCCATGCCCAAATAAGCGCTTCCACCTCAGAATGAAGAGGCGAGAGAGTAGCTCTGACATTTCTTGCTCCCATCAATCCAGTAAAACCTGTGAGGGTACTATACCAACCTTGGCCAGAAAACACTTCCTTATCTTTATCATGAACCATCTGTAAAATACCAACGCCCTGGAATGGAAGGCATAGTAGATCCCTCTACTTGTTGTGTTACCCTCTGAGAAGGTTCCACTTGTGCTTTCTTCCAAAGAATTAATTATGTTTTTGCCAAATTAATCGTATCCATAGGATCAACATCCAAATTGCTAAAAATCTTATTATTCCTTCTTTTCCAAATATACCACAATATCCATGCGAATTGATGGTCATCCATTTTTGGTCTAACTCGAAAAGAAAAACTTTTTGAATACAATGAAACACACACCTTAGCTTGAGCCGGATTGGAAGAGAGAGCCGGTAGGAAAACTTTCCGGATTGGAAGGATACTCTGATAATGCCCAGATTTTTCGTGCTGGAGGACATTCAAAAAATACATGGTTAATCGATTCTTCTGCAGCTCCACATTTGTCACAACCTATTTCCCCTTGTATCCCTCGCGCTTACAATTTTTTCTTCACAGTTATACAACCCGATAGTAATTGCCATAGAAAATGTTTTATCTTCGGAGGACACCATACCTGCCAACAAAATGCCTTTAATAAAACCACTGTGGGACCAAAAATTCAGGCGGTTTCTCTTTATCTGGGTACACTCGTTCGACTTTATATCCTGATTTAACCGTGTATTTTCCATTCTTAGTGAAATGCCATCCATCCCTATCTTCCATCTGAGTCCTACTAAGTGCTATACTTTCTATGATCTTTGCATCAGGGGGGTCGATTAGAGTCTGACTAGCCTGTATATTCCAACTTTGTGTAGTATTATTAATGAGAGAATCCACCGTAGTTCCGGGTAAAGAGTATGTTGATTTTTATTTTCTGGTCTTGGGCGAGTGGTTGGGAGCCATTGATCAGTTCATACAGAGATAGATGATCATGTTCCCACCCGTTTGATAAGTCCTTTGCTAACCAGATATCTAGCAGAGATCATACTCTTCCAGCCACAAGACGGAGAATATGATCGGATCGGTTCTAGAGGTGAAGCATTCCTATAGTACCGACCTTTGAAAACACTAGAAAACAAAGTATTTGGTTTCTCAATTAGGCGCCATAATTGCTTGCCAAGCATTGCCGTGTTGAAATCCTCAAGGTCTTTAAAACCTAAACCTCCTTCTTCTTTATTTGGACACAATTTATCCTATGATTTCCAGTGCATTCCTCTTGTACTTCCCCCATGACTCCACCAAAATTGTGCCACTGCACTCGTGAGTTTCCTTTTGTTAGCCTTAGGTAACCTATAACAGGACATCACATGATTTGTTAAAGCCGTGACAACCGATTTGATAATCACTTCTTTGCCGCCCTTCGTAAAAAATCTAAAAGTCCAACCATTAACCCAATTATTTAGTCGCTCCTGCACAAATCAAAAAACGTGTATCTTAGATCCGCTTAGACTCTCTGGGAGTCCTAAATACGATCTCATTCCTCCTATATTCTGAATTCCGAGAATATCCCTCAACTCTTGCTTATTCGTTTCTCCAATTTTGTGTCCAAATTGAATTGAAGATTTTTGAAATTTTATTAGTTGACATGAAACTGCCTCATATTGCTTCAGTATTCTGAGAATTGTTTGGCATTCCTCTCGTTGTGCCTTACAAAAGAAGAGACTATCATCTGCAAAAAAACAGATGAGAAATTGCTGGACATGCTCTCGCAACCTTCATCCTTGTTAATTATTTTTGTCGCTCTGCTCTTTTTATATTTGTAATTAATATAAAGCCTTTGTACAAATAATAAAAATGTAAGGAGACAGAGGATCCCCTTGTCTTAAGCCTCGGTGTGGGATAATGAGACCCCTAGATTGACCATTTAATAAAACCCGATACTGGACTGTTGAGATGCATTCCATCATAATCTTGATCCATTGGGGGTCAAAACCCATTTTGTATAGTAATGCCTGAATGAAATCACATTCAACCCTATCATATGCTTTGCCATATCCGTTTTAATTGCCATAAATTTTTCCTGACAATATTTATTAGTTATTAAGCCATGGAACATTTCCTTAGCGATAAGAATATTATCCAAGATAAGCCGACCCGGCACGAACGCCGATTGGGTCTCCGAAATAAGGCAGAGCAAACAGCTTTTAAGCCGCTGACATAAAACCTTCGAAATAACCTTGTAGCCAACATTACAAAGACTTATCAATATAAGTTCTGTCATCCTTGTGGGTCTCTCCGTCTTAGGAATCATAAAAATATGAGTAATACTTATCCAAGAATCGAGCACTCTTGTGACTAAAAAATATTCACCATTTCTACCAAGTAATGTTTAATTATATGCCAAGAGTGCTGGAAAAAAGTGTTGTCATTCCATCCGGTCCGGGCGCCTTCTCTGGATGCATCATAAACAAAGCATGTTTAACTTCCTCCTCTGTCGCAGTACTTAGCAGTCGTTGATTCATTTGATAGGTGATAGTTGATGGGACGTCCTCCAGGAAATTATCAAACTCAGATGGAAAGGTGGCTGAAAATAAATCTTCGAAATAGTCCACTACTACCTTTTCCACACTTTTTTCCTTCGTTATTCAATTACCAGTTTCATCATGGAGTCTCACAATTTTGTTTCGTTTTCGCCTTTGTTTTGTTAAGGCATGATAGAAATTGGTATTAAGATCTTCCGATGAGTACCACATATTACGACTCTTCTAATGCCAGTAATCCTCTTCATCCTTATATGCATCTTGTAACTTCCTAAATACTTCCAAAATGTCTTCTTGTGACCTATTATTGTCCATTTGTACCTCCTCAAGGGCGTGCATGAGATCCTGTATTGTTTTCCTTTCCATATGGCGGGTTATTTTTCCTCCACCTCGCTATTTCATGCCGGCAATTACTAATTTTTGTAACTAGATCCACTGGCTGACCATCATGATATTCTGTCTAGCCAGAAACAATTGATTCCATGAGTCCATCTTGTCCAATCCATCTCTTATCAAATCGAAATTTCCCCATCCTCTTAGGCACCTTATCCTCCATGTAGGCCACCACTGAACGATGATCCTAACCAACAATCCCCAAATATTCTGTATAAGAACATGAGAAAACTGTGTGCCACACTTCGTTTTCTATTAATCCTCGGTCTAGGCGACATCTGATCATCACAGCACCCTTCCCTTTCCCTCGGCGTCCTTGCCAGGACATCTTGTTTCCTCAAGCAGGGAACTCTAGTAAACCACTATTTTAATCATATTGTTAAAAGGAACAAAAGTATCCGCGCTCCTTAAAACACCCCCTTCTTTTTCATGATTTCTAGTAATTTCATTCAAATCTCCAATAATAAACCATGGCTCTGATCTTGCAAAACCATATCGAGTTAATCGTTCCCATACTTATTCTCTCAATTTTTGTACCTGATCTCCATGCACAAAAGTAAGAAAAACCTTTTTTCCAAGCGCCACTGCTTCCACTTCAATCATTCGATTATTTGAATATAGAATGTTTATATGATATTCATTGTTATAGAAAAGAACTAGTCCCCCACTTCTTCTAACTGGGTCCACTGTAACCAAGTTATCATATCCAAAATGTGATTGAAACCCTTGTACAAACTCAAACTCTTGCTTTATTTCAGATAAAAATAAAAAAATCTAGTTTATGTTTATGTCATATTTCACGAAGATAGCTAATAGTCCACTTACTTCTCATTCCTTTACAATTCCATTTTAAGACTCTCATTAAAAAATAACTGAAAAAAATGCTTCATGAAGCCCATAACCAAAGGGTGTGATGAAACCCAAAACCCTTGCACTTTCGTATCTCCTGATATTTCTCCCATGTAAAAACCAAACCAAACTTATATCATCCAACCTTTTAACCATCCACCAAAAATCCATCCGTCTCATTACATTAGAACACATTGTCCACGGTCTATTAATGAAATATATAGGGATTTTGAAAACCCGGAGAAACGATCCATTACTAATTTTTGATATATATACATTGTTCCATACAGTGGATCTAAAAGAAAACACCCGTAATATTTCTGTTGTCCAAATATCATATCCTATATATGACCTTTTATAGAAAGCCTATGAACAATTTTTCAAATCAAGATGCAGTCTATTTCTCCCACAAGAATATGAGAAATTTCAGACAACTGCAAGTAACTTATGACTGAAAATTAATAAACTTCTAACCTCATATAACAGCCACATCCCATTCCATCTCAAGAAAATCAAACCATGTAACCATATTTGTTGAACACCCAATGAAAAGAAATGGAACAAATCGTTTCTTGTAGTTGGTTTAAAGAGACCCACCACATCCATAATATCTCTACTAAACATCGCTCCAAATAATGCCCACAAACACACAAAATATCGACAACAAACAACATTCTCTTGACCTCAGAACCACTCCAAACCATCACATATTTCTGATATGAGCTAGAACAAGAGACAAATACATTTATGACCATCAACACTAATAGAAACCTGCACCAGCAGTACTTAAAATCATTATTACTCCCCCTTTAACCCTAAGGGGAAGCTTTTCCAAACAACAAAGAAAACATAAACGACCTAAATCCATGATAAACTTTGAAACAACCAGAATACAAATGCTAAGATAGCTTATTAAACCTTTGAAAACAAAACAAATCTGAAATCCATAACCTTCATATTCAGTTCCAGTGATGATATTTCTTGATCCATAAAAAACCTAATCCTTTTGGGTTCCAGGTTTCGGGTTTGAAACTCCCTTTCCTTGTGTTTGCTTGATCCTCTTTTATACTGATTCAAAATTTCCACTTTTTCACAGCAAAATAATTTTCCATTAACACCATATCGCCTGTAATTGATACCATTTATCCCAAATCCCCAATCAAATCTCCAATCTAGAATCTGTATCAAATATTTATTTATTCCCACGAGATCTCGTAATACACAGAGTAAACTCATATTGATTCGTCCAATCCCTCTAACAAAATAACCCGATCTTGCTTCAAAAATAGTGGGATTAATACCTCTGTGCTCCCACGATTTGGTCTTAATGATGACCAATTTGGAGATCCGACCCTGCTTATCTGCAAACCTCCTTAGATCCCCAAGAAATGCCTTTCCTTTCCCCAGTCAAATCTCTAGAATCTGTATCAAATATTTATTTATTCCCACGAGATCTTGTAATACACAAAGTAAACTCATATTGATTCGTCCAATCCCTCCAACAAAATAACCCGATCTTGCTTCAGAAATAGTGGGATTAATACCTCTGTGCTCCCACGATTTGGTCTTAATGATGACCTATTTGGAGATCCGGCCCTGCTTATCTCCAGACCTCCTTAGGTCCCCAAGAAATCCCTTTCCTTTCCCCGAATCAATCCCTCATAACCCTCCTTTACTCCATATCGTATCTCCATTCTTCACCATGTGATGATAATCGCCTCCTTTCCAATCCACCTCGTAGATTGCCGGATCCCATCGTTTTGTGCCCATGAGAACCCTAGATCGCCTTTGACATCACCGTTAGCATATTCTACATATCTTTTATTTTTTTGATAAATGTTAATTAGATACTAAGAAGCATATTGTTTATACTAATACTCTGCCAATCAAACTCTTTGAAACTCAAAAATAAATTTAAAATTGTTATCCAAAAGAGAATTTGTCATGTATATATCATCTACTCACCTAATATTCAACGAATACATATAAATGGTCTGAACCAATCTTGCCAGCCCAATCTGGCCCATTAACTATTTCTGTCTACCCCTCTCTCTCTCCTATCGTAACTTAACTGCGCCTGAATTATTTCTGCAAAGTGCTTCGCTCTTTTTCTTCCCTACCAATTACTTTCTAGGGTTCTCGGATTTGTCTTCTAAATCTGGGGTTCACACGTTCTCCATGGATTCTCGAGATTCATTATCTTCGGACGCCGCTAGAGATGGGTCAATCGGCGACGAAGCCATCGTTCTTTCGGTCACTTGTGCACTCGCTAAAGACGCTCTCTCCTATTTCCAATCTGGAAAATTCCACGAGTGTATCGACATTCTGATTCAGCTCAACCAGAAGAAACATAACGATCCCAAGGTCTGACTTGTTCTTTTTCGGATTGAACTTGTTCGGATTTGCCATTGGTATTAATAATCCTCACCTGTTTGGATCCTCGTTTTTAGATCGAGGTGAACAAAGGAGTTAAGTTTAAATTTTAGTCACAATTTACTAGTTTAGATCTGACTTTTCACCGTTTAGATATCAATTTTTAGCTTTGTTTTTCATCAGATTTATAGAGCAAAACAAAGCCTTTTCATGGTTGAAACTACCTTGATTTCTTAACCTCTGATTGCTTAGCACCAAATCGTGTGTCAACAGTAGATCTAAGAGTACTACTTGAAAAGAATTATCAGATGATTGTTCTTCTCTTTGTTTTCTTCTTTCAGAAAACCACGTCTCTGAATTTTTGTTTTAATTGATTGAGCAGGTTCTTCACAATATGGCAATTGCAGAGTACTTCAGAAACGCTTGCTTCTATTCTAAGAAACTGCTAGAAGATCTTAACACTGTCAAGGTATTGTGTTGAAACTTTAATTTCGATTCTCTGTGTTTGTCATCGAGAAAATGTTATTACTCTTACTTGTAGCCTTTATGTTAAAGATGGTTTCTTTTTCTCTTCCTCTTAATTTCAGAAACAGAGTGAAGAACTTGCTTCTGCTGCAAAAGAACAAATGGAAGCTGTTAACCCTGGATCGAGCGTCTCTGTGTCAAAGGATCATTTTGATAGTACATTAACAACTCTTAACATTGTATGTTCTCAGCAATGTTCCCATTCTTCTTACTCTTAGCTATGCGTTTGACATTTGTCAAGGTTATGTATTGGTGGTGTTCACTGGTCTTCTGCAGGCAGTTACCTGGTTTCATCTGCATCAGTATACAAAATGTTTATCCATTCTATATCCTCTGTTTCTAAATATAGAGCCGTTAGAGGAGGTATTGTTTCCATCTCTTCTGTCGACTTATGCTCATTACTTTCTACTCTATCTAAGCAGGCAACTTGGTTGCTACTTATTTGCAGACAATTGCACTTCAAATCTGCTTTTTGATGCTGGATAGTGCACTGGCTTGTCACGATGCTGTGAAATTTTTGGTAAGTATTGTTTGTACTTCAAATCTGCTTCAACCAATATCCATGGTTTTTTCTTCTGCTTTCCCTTGTTACTTTTAAACATGTTCTAAGACAGAACTTGTTGTTTTCCTATGCTCTTCTTGTTTTTCAAGCTGAAGTTTTGTCAGTTTTGATGAAAACAATTTCTCTTTTGGCTTTCGTAAAGGTCGACAATTTTGTCTTAGTAAGAATTGCTTTTCTTGCGTATTACCTGTCACATAGAACAAATAGTATGCTATATCTTCAACCTGCCTAATATGAAATGCCATGAGAGTGCAAGCAGGTTGTGTCCAGATCTCTATATTAGAATACAAATGGTTACTGCAAAATTCTACATAGCTATAGCCTGATGAAAAGGTTGTACATTTAGTTCGATGCTAGGAACTCGACTTTCATTTGAATGATCTACTGTGGCATCCTTGAAAGTGTTTTTTTGCGTTGATCAGTTGGATTCTCTCTGTAGATGTTTCGTTTTCTGACAAGTACTTATTTACAGGAGGTGTTTAGCCATCTGGATAAATCTTTTGGTGTTGGTTTTGGAACTCATGAGGAAATTGGAAGCACAATGCAACTTTCTTCAAATCATGTATCAAAAACATCTTCTCTCCTGAGCACCTCAGCGGCCTCAGATGCTTTGAAGTCTGATTTAACAGCTGCGGAAAGTGGTTTGTGTGAGGAAGAGTATGACAATGTTCTGGCGGAAATTGAGGCCGAGAAACGAATGAAGCCAGTTGGCCATATTCCAGCAAACAATCTTCTCAAGACAATAGGAGAAAGGTCGATCTTGACTGTTGATGTGAAGCTTGAGTTGCAGCTTTACAAGGTCCGGTTCTTACTTCTTACGAGAAACTTAAAACTGGCTAAGCGTGAAGTTAAACATGCGATGAACATTGCTCAAAAAAGGGACTCCTCTATGGCTCTCCTCTTGAAATCTCAACTTGAGTATGCTCATGGGAATCATCGTAAGGCTATAAAGCTTTTGTTGGTATCTGGTATACAAAAAGAATTGAGGACTTTAGGAATCTACAACAACAACCTTGGCTGCATATACTATCAGCTCGGAAAGTATCAAGCCGCCTCTGTGTTATTTTCGAAAGCTCTAAGGAATTGGTCATCACTAAGAAAGGAGAAACCGGTGAAGTTGTGTTCTCTCTCACAGGATAAGTCTCTGTTGATCACGTACAACTGCGGCGTGCTTTATTTAGCTTGTGAAAAGCCTCTACTTGCTGCTCAATGCTTCCAGAAGGCAAGCTTAGTTTTCTGCAGACATCCCCTCCTTTGGCTCCGTATAGCTGAATGCTGTATACTGGCTTTACAAAAGGGTCTTTTGGAAGAGCGAAACACTTCTTCAGATATATCGGAAATCAGAGTCCATGTGATTGGGAAAGGGAAGTGGAGACAACTTATGATGGAAGAGAATGGATTCGTGGAACTCGGTGGCAGTTCCCATTGGCCAAAGCTTTCATTACCACTAGCACGGATCTGTCTCTCGAATAGTATGTATTTGCTCAATGTGTCTCTCTTGAATGTCTCTAAATCAGATCTTGAATCGCCATTATCCGTGATGATAAATGAGAGCAAAGAGGCATCATGGTCTGATCATGGCGATGCTAATACCAACTCAGAGTTCAAGGAGGCAAAAGGAGGAATGAACCAGGACATAATCCAAAACTCCCTCTCCGCTTACAATGATATCCGTAGAAGAGAGAATCATTTGCTCAAACAGGCTCTTCTTGCCAATTTGGCTTACGTAGAATTGGAGTTGGAGAATCCTATCAAAGCTTTGTCAGCTGCTAATTCACTCCTGCAACTTCCAGATTGTTCAAAGGTATATGTTTTCTTAGCCCATATTTACGCAGCGGAGGCTCTCTGCTTGCTCAACAGACCCGGTGAAGCTGGTGCGCATTTATCTGTCTATCTACTCGGACAGGAAGATTTTAAACTGCCATTTGCGCAAGAGGACTTTGACCCGTGGCGGATGAACATGAGTTCTGACTGTGAAGAGACATCGGATTGTTCCACAGGAAATGCCCGTGATTCACTCAAGCCAGAAGAAGCTCGTGGGGCACTTTTTGCAAACCTTGCCGCCCTCTTTGCAACACAAGGGCATTATGACCAGGCCAAACCTTTCATTCAACACACGTTAACTGTCTTACCGAACAACGTACAAGCTACGATTACAGCGGTCTATATCGATCTCATGGTGGGTAGGTCACAAGATGCCGTTACTCGTTTAAAGCAGTGTACCCGTGTGAGCTTTGTCCCTGGCAGATTGGAAGTGTGAACCTCGTAAATGGTTTGTACTCTGTTCTTTTAAACCAAGCTTTAGAAATTAGTTCCTTCTATAACTATCAGAGAAATACTTTTTCTTTTTTTTTTTTTTACTTCTTGTATTTGATGCTTTGCGATGATGTTTGCATTCTTGACTTAGATTTGGGTCATCGAGGGTTTATTGGTTTCTTGTTTATGGACGACAGACCCCTTTTAAAAGCTTCTTTTTTTTTTCCGTCATACTAATCACCTTTTAGGAGTTCCCTTCGTTCCACAACTTTGCAAGGTTCTTTTTTGTACTTTATGGATCTCAAATAAGTAGGAAGTGTTCTTGATAAAAACTGTCTTGCAAAATGCCAATTTTAAGTATTTAACCTACCATGCACAATGGTTCGTAGATATTAAATTACTAGGTGATTATTTATAAAATAAATAAATCTTAATTAATATTTTTTTTTTCTTTTTATTTTATATGATGTTATAATATTTATTTTGACTGTGGACGAACAGCATGTTTATAAATTAACAAAATTTGCTATATAATTAATACCTATTGGAAAATATAAGAGATTTTATGTTTTAAAAATCATTTAGAAAAATATTTGACTTTAATTTTCTTTTTTCTTCACTTTCAAAAAATAATTTAAGATCTAAACATATTTGTAACAAGTTATGAATTAGGACATATAATTAAAAATATGTCAAGACATTTTTTTGTCATCATGTCAAGACTTAAAATCCTTATGGCTTTAAATGTCTAATATAAGTAATAAAACTAAACTTTAAATCCAAAATACATGAAATGTTAAACATCAACTGTTTAGGAAAATTCTCATTAAAATATAAAAATCACAAATAAATTATTTTAATTGGTATTATATACGATATAAAAATTAGAAAGTTCAAACCAAATTTTAGTAATTACTGTCAATATTTTTTGGATTTTTCGTCATATCAATTTAGGATATTCTTCAGCACCATCATTCTCTAATTCATTATAAGCAAGCTTGACATGTTCTTCAACAATCCAAAACTGTTTTGTCAGTATTTTTATAATCCACTTGATTATATGGTTTTTTATTATTGAAAAAAAAAACTAACTTCTTAATTAGAATAGAAAGAAAATTCTTAAAATGTAGATGAAAAAATCTAAAAGAAAATAAAAGTTATGTATTGATTTAACTAGTGGTTCAATTGGAAGTTGGGTTCCAAATTTTAACGGAATTTAGCGAGTTTCTAAATAGTGCCTTTTATCTAAAACTCAAACCATATTACATATCGCGTCACTAGATTTACCGGTTCGACCATATATCTAGATCGGACTTCAAAACACTGTTTTTGTCTTATTTTTTTCATTTTGTAAATATCATTCTTTGTTTGGTGTGTGCTGTCTCGGGTTATCCAATTTAATCTTATTTTTACGCTTTGTAGTTACAAAATTAATTAATATGAAGATCTTTTAATTAATATGAAGATCTTTGGTAAAATAAAAAGCTATGTAAGAAATGGTTTTCTTTTCGTTTTGATAAAGAGTTTTCTGTAAAAAAAAAAACCCTCCTAGTAATTTTGTTTCGCAAAATTATCTTCCAAATGAGAAAATATGTAAGTCGAACCTATCAACTTCATTCCATCCGCAATATAACCAGTACAAAAAGATGATTTAACCATACTTATTTTATATTTTTTGTATTACTTATAAATGATGTAAACAAAATTTGCATCGCTTATATAAATGATTCTGAAAATGGTGATGCAAATAATTTATATTACTTAATTAATAACTGATGTAAAAATATTAATATTTGTATCAATTGGTAAGTGATATCAATATGTATCAATTATAAAATATGATATTAAAATTTACATCATTCTTTTTAAAATGATGTTAGTAGTAACATCAATTAAAATACTGGATTTTAATTTTTTTTTTTACTATTTATTAATTATTAAAAATTAAATGATATAAACTTGGAAAATATTTAATAATTATATTTTTTATATTTTTTAATTTAAATAAAATTATCATTTTATAGTAAATAAATTTGTGAATAAATATAATGTAAGAAATTATTTACATTTTATTTCTTTTTTTTTCTTCAACTGAAAAAATAAAATGACGAAGAAGAAAAAAATAAGTGTTACAAATAAATCAGTAAGATGGATGAATTCATAAATAATTGTAATAATTATTAAAAAGAAGAGTGAATTGTACCAACATCTATAAAGAAGTAGGATATTAGCAAAATACTCATAATTCAGAGTTTATGGGCTACACAGTGTTTCGAGAAATTACATTATTGACCTTTTATTAATTGAGGGTTTAGAAAGAAAAAAAAATAGCTATAGGATCCATGCTATTATTAATATTTCAATATTTTAGTTAGATTTGGTAAATATCCACTTGAGATATTTTTAAAATAAAACTTAAAATAGCATCAATCCATGTTTTTATCCAAATTAGCACCCAATACCAAAAGTCACAAAATAGGTTTCATTAAAAATAATTATATTCTTATGTCATTTCTTTGACTAATTAAAAAAATTATAGATTAATTGCTAATTTATCCTTATGCCAGTTCTTTGTAATTTACTCTAAAACCATAAACCATGAAAATCAACTCTAAACCTTAAACCCTGAAATTTCCACTCTAAACTCTCAAATATCAAATTCTAGAACCTTAAACCTTAAACTTCAAATTTAAATCATAAACCTTAAAACATCAATTCTAAACCCTAACCACATGAACTTCAACTTTAAACCATAACCCTGAAACTTTAACTTTAATCCCTAAACCCTAAAATGTTAACTATAAAACCCTAAACCCTGAAACTTCAACTCTAAACCCTAAATCCTGAAACATGAACTCTAAAACCATAAAACCTGAAACTTCAACTCTAAACCCTAAAACATCAACTCTAAAACCTTAAACCCTAAAACTTCAAATCTAAAATCTAAATCATGAAATATCAACTCTAAAATCCTAAACCCAGATGTTTTACCTCTAAATCCCTGAAACATCAACTCTAAAAACCCCTAACCCTGAAACTTCAATTCTAATTCCTACACTCTGAAATATCAACTCTAAAACCCTAAACCCTAAAACTTCAACTCTAAACCCTAAACCCTGAAACATCAACATTAAAACCCTAAGACCCAAAACTTCAACTCTATACCCTGAAACATAACCTCTAAAACCTTAAACACTTAAACTTCAAATCTAAACCCTAAATCCTGAAACATCAACTCTAAAACCCTAAACCCTGATGTTTTACCTCTAAACCTCTGATATATAAACTCTAAGACCCTGAAACTTCAACTCTAATCCCTAAACCCTGAAATATCAACTCTAAAATCTTAAACCCTGAAACTTTAACTCTAAAACCTAAACCCTTAAACATCAACTCTAAAACCTTAAAATCTGAAACTTCAACTCTAAACCCTGAAACATCAACTCTAAAACGATAAACCCTGAAACTTAAAAATCTAAACCCTAAATCCTGAAACATCAACTCTAAAACCCTAAACCCTGATGTTTTACCTCTAAACCCCTGAAACATCAACTCTAAAACCCTAAACCCTGAACCCAGAAACTTCAATTCTAAACCCTGAAACATCAACCTTAAAACCTTAAACCCTGAAACTTCAACTCTAAACCCCGAAACATCAACTCTAAAACCCTTTACCCTGAAACTTCAACTTTAAACCCTAAACACTGAAAATCCAACTCTACAACCCTAAACCCTGAAACTTCAACTTTAAACCCTAAACCCTAAAAATCCAACTCTAAAATCCTAAGCCTTGAAACTTCATCTCTAAACCCTGAAACATTAGTTCAAGAAACCTAAATCTTGAAACTTCAACTTTAAACCCTAAACCTTGAAAAATCAATTCTAAACCCTGAAACTTCAACTCTAAACCTTAACCCTGAAATTTCAACTCTAAATCCTAAACACTTGAACATCAACTCTAAAACCCTACACCTTGAAACTTCAACTCTGAACCTTAAACCCTGAAACTTCCACTCTAAACATCAATTCTAGAACTCTAAACCCTGAAAAAATAAATCTAGAACCCTAAATCTTCAGACTTCAACTTTAAACCGTAAACCCTGAAACTTCAACTCTAAACCCTGAAACATCAATTATAGAACCCTAAACCTTGAAATTTTAACTCTAAACCCTGAAACTTCAACTATAAACCATCTTGAAACATAAAATTTAAACCCTAAATCTAAACCCTAAACCCTCAACTTTAGCCCTTACTCCCTAAACCCTATATTTTACCGAAATTCAAATCTTAAACCCCAAAATCCTTAATATATTAAAATCCTGATGATATATTAATGTTCATGATAGGGTTCACGGTAATCTATTATAAGATTTGCAAAGCCTTGAGCGTGTTCAAAATGGGCTTCTGGATAATATATTAATCTTCAGAATAATGTATTATAAAATTTGGAAAGCCTTGAGCGTGTTCATGATGAGCTTCCAAATAATATATTGATCTTTAGGATAATATATTATAAAATTTGGAAAGTCTTGAGCGTGTTCAGGATGGATTTCCAGATAATATATTAATCTTCAGGATAATATATTATAAAATTTGGAAAGCCTTGACCGTGTTCAGGATAGACTTCCTCATAATATATTAATTTTAAGATAATATATTATAAAATTTGGAAAGCCTTGACCGTGTTCAGGATAGACTTCCTCATAATATATTAATTTTAAGATAATATATTATAAAATTTTGAAAGCCTTGACCGTGTTCAGGATGTGCTAACGGATAATATATTAATCTTCAAGATAATGTATTATAAATCTTGGAAAGCCTTGAGCGGGTTCAGGATGGGCTTCCTGATAATATATTAATTTTTAGGATATGATTTAAGGTTTAAAGTTTAGAGTTTATGTTTTAGAGTTGATGTTTTAGGGTTAAAGGGTTTAGAGTTTAGTATATTAACCTTCAGGATAATGTATTCTAAAATTTGAAAAGCCTTGAGGTTGTTCATGATGGGTTTCCGGATTGAAGATAATGTATTATAAAATTTGGAAAGCCATGAGCGTGTTTAGGATGGACTTCCAGATAATATATTAATCTTCAGGATAGACTTTAAGGTTTAAGGTTTAAATTTTAGGGTTTAGAGTTGACGTTTTTGGGTTTATGGCTTAAAGTTCA